TAGAAGTTGGAGACATTGTTCTTAAAGCTGGACATTTTGAGAACCATGTGGAAATTGTGTTGTGTGACCTGAGCTTTCTGGAAATGGCTAATGCTAAGATACTAAGTTGTAATTAGAATCACACAGTTTAGGAGATGGCGAATTTCTTTTCAAGGAAGCCATCCCAGAGGAACTTGAATATTCTGTAATTTGGCAAGTAGGGAAATGAGATGGTGGAAAAACTAGAGGTTATAAGCTGTTGACAGTTCTCAAACTATAGCTTTAGTAAATTGCCATTTTAACACTTGGTCTGGCTTCCATCATCCCATCCAGACTTATGGGCTGCCATTCTTTCTCAAATGCCAGCTGGACTCAACAGAGCAATGATTCTCTGGCCCTTGAACTCTTACCTTACAAATCAATATCACCTTATTGACCACCACCATTCTTGCATTTCACAATCATGAAAATACCTTACCACAAACCACCCTGCTCTTCCATGAACACTGAACATTTCTACTTGTTGACTTAGACTCTTTCCTCTCCATCTCTGGTATATCATTAGTGCTTTTAGAGGGAAAAGAGATTGTGGAGTGAGGAGAATGAGTCAATCCAAGAGAGGAATTAGATCACAAGTGATTGTTTCTCATTTTTACTTTGTGACATGTTTTCCAAAGTGTGTTAGAGTGAAAGTTATGTGAATCACAAAGGAGTACCCTTTGGGACCAGTATGATTCCGATGGTCATGTTGTGAGTGGTAGAGATTACAAGACAAGGCAGAACTGCCAATGTTTTTGATGTGTATCCATTTCCCTCCAATATTTCCTTCCCTGACCATTCCTTTTTGGTGATCAGCCCTGATATTATCACTGAACTTGTCTGAAACATGTTACTACATGGAGCAACATCCTAGGAAGAGCTGGAGGTAAAGGAAGAAGTAGAGACAGAAGTCACGAGTTTGTAGGAACGCAGCTAAGGATGGACAAGAGAATGGGTAGCGATTAGCAAGGAGAAGGACCTACCAGATGGGCTGAGGAGGCAGAAGTGGAACAGGAAGGTAGGACTCTGGTGACTGTAGACATACAGGGAAGAGATATTTAACAACAAATGTGATAGGCTCCAAGATTTTCGTTTGTATAAATGAGCATTATGGTCACAATTTAGAGGTAAACCTACCATCAGTTTTTGCTAACTCACTATTTACTAGTCAAGTCTTTGCCTTCTCTTTATTAAGTGAATGTTACCATCACAGATATATTTGAATATTGACTAAGTACATTAGAAATTCAGACCATTCTTCAGATTTCCGGTGAGTTTCATATTTGTCCTGTACTGGGGAATCAGAGGCCTGGAGCAGAAAAGGAGTGGAGTCAACATTAGACTACCTGGGACTTGTTCTGTTCCCTGATGCATCTTTATCTATAGTAATAAAGGTACAATAAGTGCTTGATGAAGGGATGAGTGAGTGTGAGAGTGAATGCTCCTGTACTGCTGTGGGAAGTTTGCTCCAATTGTGTTTGTGAGAACAACAGACTTCTCCTCTAACTCCAACCCAGTGAGGGTGCTACCTATTACTTACACACACACATACTCATACAACTTCATCCTTTCCTCATTCTTTAGGGTACCATTGATGCAGTGATCTCAGCCCCATCCTTATTGTGATGCTGGCAAAAATCCAATTTTTCCTTCTGTCTGATTCCACCTTCATTTCCCCGGAGGTCCCCTCTATAGAGCACCCCTCCATAGACTTCCTACAAAGGACTTTAGTCCCATATTCTTTTTCCTGAGAAACACGGCCTATGACAACATGCTGATTATTTTAAAAATTCTTACTTCACCACAGCTTGAATTATGTCAAATATGTTCTAGATTTTCTTTCTTAAACCTAGGTTAACTTTATGTTACCATATTAAGACCAGTGGGGTGTAATGTAGGAATTGAATCCTGCTATTAAGACTTGGTATAATTATTTGGACAGTTAAACACTAAGGTCTAAATTCCACACAACTTTTTATAACCCATAGAAGCAGCTTATCCCCCTCACCCACACTCTCCTGATGATTCAGCTTTTTCCTTGTTAACCCACAATAACAAGGACCTATGGTTTCAGAATGAAAAGAAAAATGTGACCTATCTTATAAATGATTTGAATAAGGGTAAATTTGTTTCAAATGCTCAGGGATATCATTTTGTGATTCACTTGTTTCTTTGTTTCTAGAGGACCTTTTCTCCAAAGGTTCAAAACTCAAATGATGTTGTTTAACTCCCCCCTTTTTCTATTCTCCAGGTCTCTCCATGTTAAAGGTTCTGCAATTAGGAGCCATGGGTCAGATTCATGCCACTTCCTGTTTTATTTTTCTTTGCTTAGAAAACAAGATATTTTTAGAAAGGTGAAATAAATAGTGCTGGTTCTAAGTCCAATTGTGAAACAATGTTTGTCCATGATGAGCCTCTTCTTTTTGCGGTGGACTTTCCATGTGGCTTCTCCTCCCCCAGCTCTGGGGACCTCCGCAGCCCATTGCCAGTGTCTTGCATACTCCTCTCCACAGGAAACTCTTCTCCTTTATCCAGATTTCTCTGTTCTGCTGCTCCCTGACCATGGCCCAGTCTAGGGGCTTCTATGTTTCCCTGTGATAGAAAGTTCTCTGTTCTACAGCTCATCACCCAAGGCCAAGTTTACTCTGCCCCTAGGAGGCACCATTGCCTGGCACATCCCTAATTGGTTAATAAATGTTTAAATGGATGGATGAGAATATGAATCAGTGAATTCTTTCTCATAACATACCACTCAACACCCAGTCCTACCTACTATCCACCCAAGGGCATGTGTATTAACTAAGGTCTGATGAAGACAGCCTTCTTTTGTAGCATGACCCAACTAGGCACATTGGGAGAGGAACCTTCTGACAAATGGGTGTTAATTATATTAACCATGTGTTTCTTGATGCTTTCACATTTGGGGCCTTGCTGACCCTGGAGAGACGGTGCCTTCCTAGAGTTAACAACTTATTTGTTAGCACATCTTTTATATACAAACCAACCGATCTAGAGTCCTTACCTTGACCACCTCCTTAAAGGACTCTCAGGGCTTTCACACTAGGCACCACTCACTATCTACCTAATCACCCATGAATCTGTTCCAGGCAACCAAGGACAGCTCCTGTGTCTGAGAGCTTGGGGAAGCTATTCAAACCTGCCAGTCCTCAGCCCACTGCTTTCCCTGGAAACCACAAGGAGCTTTTGCCTGTGTTTCCCCCTTGCACCTTCTACCTCCTGACCCACCCTGGTGTTTCTCATGCCCATTATATAACATGCTCCTTCCTTGGGAACTGTGGATAACAAGTGATCTTTTCAGTGGTAATTGTTTCCTGATGCGTAGGCCTCATTATACCTGAGTAAAAGCTACATTTTTAAACAGTTATTTCGAATACTTTTCCAGTCCAGCTGTGTTCCCCAATACTGGAAGCATTCAGTCTCCACTGTAACTGAATGGAGATAATTCTCTACTACATTATAAAGATTTCTACTTTGGGTAGAAGGTTTCACCTAACCATATATAGTAACCTTTCACCTAACCTTTTTCATAGTTTTACTTTCTGCAGTTTTAGATTGACATTGGTCAATCATGGTCAGAAAATATTGATTGGGAATTTCCAGAAATAAGCAATAAGTTTGAAATAACTTGCACTATAGCATATTGTTAAGAGTTGTTCTATTTTATAATTAGCTATTATTATCATAAGTATATACATATAGGAAGAAATGTAGCATATTTAGATTTCAGTGCTATCCATGGTTTCAGGCATCCACTGAAAGTCATGGAATGCAAATTAGTGAACATTTATTAAGCACTTACTGTCTGCCAAGTGCTATACTAAAAATATTAAATGCATCACCTTATTTACTCTCCATCTCTGCCCCCCACAACAAAAAGCCATTTTGCCAACAAGAAGACTTGAGTCTCAGAGAGGCTGTGTAATAAGCCAAAAGCCACACAGCTAAAAATACCACAGGTAAAATTTAAAACTTGTTCTCTCCTTTTAAACATCCTGCCCATGAGCTAATCCATTTAAGAAAAATCCAGAAGGAGGCCTCTCCTTTTCCATGAGGTCTGACAATTGGAGAAATGACAAACAGGAGAGGCAATAAAGTTTAATTTTTTAATTAATTCAGTTATTAAAAGATTAATAACCAAACTTTATATGTGTCATCACCTTGAGCTCTCATAAAATCTGATGAATTATTGTATTATATTTGAACTGAAGTTCCCAAAGTCACAGAAGATGTGAAATTCAAACACAAACTTTCCTGTCATTGCTCTGAGACCTTCCCTACTTGCATGCCTTCCTTCTATCATAGTCTTCCAAATCTTTTAAAGTCTTTTTGCAAGTTTTATTGCATAACATCACTGCTTCCTTCATACTTTAAAGCAAAGGTGCGGCAGCTTGACAGTGAAAGTGATTCCATGATAAAAAGTAGCTGTGTCCAGATTTTCCAAGAACAATATACCCTGGGGTGAATTAATATAGTCTCTGGAAGAAGTTGCCCAGAGACAGGGCTAGAAATTGTAGAAGTTTATAACACTATGTCAGATCCTTAGTGAATGGAGGAGAACCTATAGAAATCCCTTATATTTAAAGAAGTTCCATTCATTGGGCACAAGTCCCCAGTTCTTCTCCAAAGAACTGTACTGGTAATGGAGATAGGAGAAAATAACTGGCAATTTTGGACAACTACAAGCTGAGAAGGAATAAGTCAATTAAATACTTTAAACATGCAAATACACATATGTAATAAAATAATATATAATAAAATTGCTGTTGAATGCCATCAAGTAGCAAAATATACTGTAGAGATGTTAAAAATCTATATGGCCAGGGTTGACCACAGGCATGGGGGCCTTTCTAGCAAAATAATTGAAAACGTAACTGACTATCAAGCAAAATATAATTCATGGGTCCTACTGAAGTTTGGGGTCTGAGAAATTTAAGCAAGAAAGAGGAAAAGTTGGAAAGAAAGAGGAGAGAAAAACAATTTATTGAATCAAATAACTTGGAAATGTTAAAAAAATGATAAAACAATTGGCTTATGAGTACCAGACAAAAGGAGGCTGGATTAGAGGGCTTAGGAGCAAGCAGCAAGTCATTGAAAGTGTCTTTTGGGGATAGGACTGGGCAGCCATTAGGAATTTCCATGGAGATGGTAAGAAGAAACAGCTTGCCTGGCGGAGGACCTCGGCTGGGCTATCAGGAAGAATTTCTGACTGTAAATGTCAAGACTCTGGCTCACAGGATGAAGGCAGCCTTCTGGGATTCGCCTATCCTAGGACTGTTTTTCAGCTTCCAGCAAGAGGCTGTTGGGGCGATTTCATGCAGCCCTGGGATGGACAGATGACCCCTCAGAGCCCTTGGCTCTCATGTTGCTGAGGCATGCCATCCTCGGCTGCACTCACAGGCCACGGCCAGCTGCTGACTCCCCACCCAGGGGCTGCGGAGTTTTCCCCACAGAAAGGAACAACCAAGCCTTTCACTCCTGGGTTCCTCACTTGGACGGGGCTGTAGGTGTACATCTGTGGTTTTTCAGTTCTTCAGCACTTAGGCACTTTTCTGCAGAGCCAAGGGCCTTCTGGGAACAGTGGAGCATCTGTGTGTTGACAGTAATGACCTGTGGGCCAGAGACACTCAGCCAAACTCTCCCTCCGCTCCAGGAGCTGGACTGTACCCCTCACCTGCAGTGAGCCCCAGCCTGCCCAGCGCCAAGTGCCCCCCTTCTCTCCCTAATTGACTTCCTAGCTCCTCTGCCACATTTGTACCAGTTCTTACCAGGATGGTCTCTACCCACCACCCATCCCACACACAGAGTGAACAGTAACACGCATGTGGCTTATGGCCTGCTGCTAAACTGTGAGCACTGAAGGGTGAGGGACACACGGCTCAGCTGGGCAGCTGGGTGTTTACAAGAGGTTCGGCCTGCAAAGAGATGCCAGTCTTCTCCTATAATATCATTGCCTTTATTTATTATATGGATTGTTGATTTACATGGGGAATTGGGGATGCTAAACAAGCATAGAGTTTTCACATGGTCTGTTTATGCTAAATTCAGAAACTTGGGGACATCATTTAACATCTGACAAAAACACAGAAGAGTGCTTAAAAACCATCTTTTTGTTCTTGGCCCTGAGTCAGAGAGAGAAGGGCTCTTATGAAGGAAGGTCGAGTTTCAATCCTTAGACAACCTCTAAACAGCGGGAACTTTGTTGTGTGGATCATGTGAAGTAGGCAAGCTCAGTACTAATGATACATTGGAACAATTTCTCTCTAGGAATGGCTCTCCTTCATACAAGTGTCATAGGATTTCTAAAGCCGTCCACCATAGGTGGGCCTACACAGTATGAATGTTCAATAGCAAATTAGATAGGGAGCCAAAGAGTACAGGGAATTTAAAAGAAAGAAGAAAAGTCAATGAGATTTTTAAGGAACAAAATGGAATAAATCCTCTCTCTCTCTCTCTCTCTCTCTCTCTCTCTCTCTCTCTCTCTGTACATGTGTGGTTTAAAGTCCTGGTGAATGTGTTGTTTGGTATCTCTCAGGTTTGAATGGCCTGTTTTTGTTCAGCATAATGTAGGTATGTGGTAATAAGTGGAAATACCAAGGAGAAGTCAAAGTTCCACTTTTGGAGTCTTTTCTTCTGATGTACGATTTTCTCTCTGTAAAACATCATAACACTGAAATTTAGATTTGGAGTTAATTCTTGCTTTAGGCTTAGAAAACTAGGCCATTTTGATTACTTCAGGAAGTGCTAAATCATTTTCAATTTTATCTCATGAGCTCTTTTATATGGATTTTGATTCATTTCCCATTGATACCTTAAGCAAAATGGCAAAATTCCAAATTCAGCTCCTTTGAATATGCAATACTTTTCCAAAAATACTTTGTTAGTTCTATTCCCATAACTAGTTCTATTCCCATAACTATTCCCATGAGCATCCTGATTCTGACCAGCACACACCCTCAAATTCATTCGCTGTTGATCAGATCCAGTAGAGCCCAGAAATCTTATTCAACAAGCAATAAAAGGGACAGAAGGAGAAAATGAAAATTGCTTTACCTGTACCCTCATACTTACCAACAATTTCCCTTCTAGAAATCCATCACAAAAGCTTTTCACATGCTCTACTGTAACTTCAGTTATAGGCAGTGTATCCCACTGATCGTCAATCGTTCGGTAAATTGCCAAAGCTGGCAGCTGAGACTTCTTTAGTTTGAAAAATGATATCACCTTTTCATTTTCCTTCATACCACTGTCCACCAGGACAAAGAGAATCTGCAGTTGAAGAAGTTTGAAACAAAAAGCTCTATCAGAGGTCCTGGGGATAAACAGATTCTTTGTAATTGTTGTCGTTTACACTGATTAAACTTATGGTGTCACATAAGTTAAATCTCAATTGAGTTAAAATAAATCGTTCATTATTTTGTATTGCTTTAGTATTTTATTCCTTTGGTCAGATTTATTTAATTTTGAGCACATAAAATTGGAAGAGATTTTATTGATTTTATAAGGGAGGAAGTGTAGCCTACAGGTTAAGAGCAAAGAACAAATTTTAAATTTTACCTCTGGTATATTTAGTTGTGTGGCTTTTGGCTTATAACACAGCCTCTCTGGGACTCAGTTTTTTTTTGTTGGCAGAATAGCTTTTGTTGGGGGCAGTGTGGAGAGTAAATGAGGTGATGCATTTAATATTTTTAGTATAGCATTTGACAGATAATAAGTGCTTAATAAATATTAACTATTTTGCAATCACATTCCAAAATCCCTTGTGGATTAGTACTGAAATTTAGATACTACATTTCTTTCTATACATACATACTTATGATATAATAGCTAATTATAAGCAATGTAATAGCTAATTAGAACAATTCTAACAATATGTTATAGTGAAAGTTATTTCAAACTTATTGTTTATTTCTGGAAATGTCCATTCAATATTTTCCGATCATGACTGACCATAGTGAAACTATGGAAAAGGGGGCTACTGTATATTGTTTGGTCAAACCTTGTATCCAAAGTAGAAATCTTTATAATGCAGTTGAAGATCATCTCCATTCAGTTGCACTGAATGCTTCCAGTCTTCAGCTTTTATTCTTAAAATAACTAATTTATTACTTTATTATCGGCTGGTTGTCATGATTAGAAAGGTCTCTAGCTGAACAGCCTTGAAGTAGTTAAGTTTTATTGTTTCGGCGATATCAAGCAGAACCTCATGAAGGAGGAAAGGGGAAGATAAAATACTTCTTGGCTATCTAATTGGTAGCAGGGCTTGACAGGTGTATATGCGGGGTAAACTCTAAGGTCTGTCCCAAACTCGACGAGAGTATGGTGGGGGGGTTAACAAATGGTGACTAGTAGGTGATTTTATTTTCTGTATCTTTATGTCTCTATTTTATCTCCACCTATCAATGCAGAAAACTATCCTTAACCACTGTGGGAAAACATGATTATATAAGCCTTTAATGTTACCAAACATAACATGTTTGATTTCAAATGATGCTATTTTTTATGTCCCACTCTTTCTTGATTTCTGAAACATACTGTCTTTCCTTATTTATCTCTCCTTCCTAGCCCCATCTTTCTTCTGGTGCTATTTATTCAAATGTCATGTCCCATTCCCAACTTACCTTTCCCTGGAAGAGCCTAGCTGCCTTCCGGTATCTGTTCATATTCTCGGCATACTCTGGAGATGCTTTGCTTATCACCAGGAGAAGATGAATCTCAATCATGGTGTTAAATAGGCCAAACCCAGTCTGGCAAGTATATTATAGTAGAAAGAGAGAAAGGGGGGAGACATTAGTGTCAATCCAGTGAATGGTAACACAAATGCAATTGGCCTCCAAGAGAGTTCTCAAAATCTCCCCATCTGTTTTTTTTTTTTTTTTCATGCATCAGTGTAGATCCCTCTTTCCCACACTGCATAGGTTGGATGGAGAAACCAAGAGGATATTGTAGAAATGATGGAGTGTGACTTTGAGGTCATAAAAGTCATCATGAATTCTGCTGTGTTCTTCCCAATATCCCTCACTCTGAAGCAGCCCTATGGACAGATTCACATGGCAACAGTGGGGACCAACTTGCCAGCCACATGAGTGAGCCCTCTTGAAAGAAATTCTTCCAGCTCTACTCAAGCCTTCCAATGACTGCAGACCTGGTCATTGGCTGCAAACTCACCAGAGATGCTAGAGCAGAAGCACCTAGCCAAGACACTCCCAGATGGTTGACCTACAGAATTAGCATGAGATAATCAACATTCACTGTCTCAAGCTAAAATTTTAGAGTAACCTGTTACATGAACTAGACAACAAATATGCCATGAAACATATCAGTCGCTTTTTTTCAACTCCTTTTCATGTTGCAAAAGGAACACTTAAAATATGATTCTTGACTACAAATTATTCAAGCATACTTATTGAATATTTATTATGTGCAAGGAACTGTCTTCAGCTTTTATTCTTATAATAACTAATTGAATCCCTAAGATCCTGGTTTTTCAAGTGAGAAGACTGAGGCAGAGATAGATTAAATAGTTGTAAAATTTACATAAATGATGGCTTGGGATTCACATTAGGCAATCTGGTGCTAGAGTCCAAACTGGCTGGATCAGGATCACCTGGAAAAACCCCATGCAAATCAATTTAACCCCAAGTGTGGTGGATCCAGTCCACCTCAGGTCAACATGAAGGTGAGCTCTGCAGGAAACGGGAAGCATTGACCTTATTTGCTGATCGGCCATTCGGCATGAAGTTGTCAATGACATAGGGGACTGGGATAGCCACTAGCTGGATAAAAAGGGGAGAGGAAGGGTGAGACTGTGCTATTGACACCATTCATTTCACTTTCCCAAACCTGTGTTGCAGATCTATTTTAAACAAACCCCATTGCTTTCTACCTCTCCTAAATACAGAAATCACTGCTATAAAAATCAACATGTGCATGATAAGAGATTGGCCTCAGGGGGCCAATAGGTGGACAAGGAAGGCCTATGGAGTTTTTATCCTAAATACTTCTCCTTGGCATTTTAGAAAGAAAATGTGTTCTTCATTATTGCTGCTGACACAAGATTTTACATTTGGGAGAACAGATGATCAATAATTGACTCTTGTTTTAAATGCATGTGTATCCAACTTCCTAAAGCAGAGATGGAGGATAATTTTTGGAAAGAGTCAAGAAAAAAAGTGGAGTCAATCCTGTCTTAGCAGAAGGGATTGGACAACAGAAGTGATTAGTGGAATCTGTGATTAGTGGCACAGCCTGGTTTTTCACCTTGAAGCCATCCACATGTTATTAAAAGTGCATGGCAGGCCAAAGGCATGGCTGTGATTTTCTGCCCTTGGTTACTGGTGCAAACTTCTGCATTATCAGTAGAAGAGAAATAGCTGTAGAAGAATGGGTAGCTTTCCAAATGAGAAAAAGAAATTTTTTTTGAGAAAAAAGTCACAATAAAAATTGAACTTGTTTCTGTAAAGAAATTCTTTCCTGATTTCTTCTTGAGATGATTAGCCTCCAGTAATAGGGAACTTTAAAAAGATACATTATTACTATGCAAGGTGAGAGCTGGACCAGGCTGAGAGCTCAGGCAGGCCAATCCTTGCCCTGCCCTGGCTGGGCAGGATTCCAGCAGGCTGGAGCCATTTACCTTGGAAGTGAAAGATCACTTTTCTGGGCCTCTGTGCACCCCTTTTAGCTGAATAGACACACAATCAGAATGACCCAGGCTAAGAATGTGTTCTTCATTATTGCTGCTGACACTGTGGTGTGTGTGTGTGTGTGTGTGTGTGTGTGTGTGTGTGTGTGTTTGGAATCTTGGCCAAAGTGGAAATGGAGTCAACACTCTCTAAAGATGGTGTGAGAAGTGGATGTGATTTTAGTCAACAGGAAAAGGGGTGTTTCCTCCTGTGTGGAGCAGTAGAAAAACCACAGAATGCACTCAAACAGACCCAGCACGAAAAACAGGGTAAGTGCAGAGGCTGTCTCTGAAGTTCAAGTTACTAAGCTAATGGCTCTAGGAGGTTACTTAGCTTCTCTGAACTCCCACTTCCTGTATTATAAAATGGAAATAGACAAGATGAGCTAATGTTCTGCCTTAAATTATGTCTTTTTAATTTACTCATTGTGTGACATTTGGTAATGTCACTTGGGTCTTGAATGTTCTCCTCTACAAAATGAGCGTAATAATTTCCTCCCTTTCACCTTAAACAATCAATTAAATGATTAAATAAGAATTAAGGGAGGATTAAATGAGAAAATGAGTATGAAAGGGCTTTTTATAAGTTCTGAAAAAACATAACTTGTGCATTAGGTGTTGTTTCTAGAGTACGCCTAGCACTTCTAAGTTGATGTAGGTCACTAGAAAATGAAAGGCAGGACATGTAAGATAATTGGATAAGCTGTAGAGTGTGAGAAGGCCAGAGGATGATCTGGAGGGTCGGTTGACACTTTTCCTCATATTGCTTGCAGCATGTGACATCAGAGGAGAACAAACCTGGATGATGAGGCCCCTGAAGATTTAGACAATGCTAGTCAAAATGCAGTTAGCATGTGGTGCCAGACCAGGAAATGTTAGTGTCCATAAAGAGGTACCCACAGAAAATAGGAATAGATGTTTGAAAATTTTATGTTGTTCTGGCATGCGAATATGTGATCAGTGGGTTTATTTGTTTATTTTTCTTTTTTGAGACTTGGTTTGGCCAACCTACCTGGGCTAGCCTCAAACTTGAGATCCTCCCTGCCTCAGCCTACTGAGCAGGTGGGATTACAAATGTGCAACACCATGCCCAACTAATCGGCCTTATTTTTTAAAGTGCATTTGTCTACTAACTTACTTTTATTTTATTTTATAAAAATATGGGTCACCAGTGCTTTAGGGGGAAAAAAAATCGACTTTCTGTATGAATTGGAATCTAACTCAAGAAATGTGATCTACAGCGTTGATCAGGGCATGGTGGCAGCAAAACTCAGAAGGTTTTTGAATCAGTCACCTTAACTTTGCATTTTGGCTCTCTTTCTTATTAGTTGTGTGATAAAACATTCGACTTTTCTGTCTCTGTTTCTCTTTGTTAAATAGGTAAAAGTCCATTAGTCCTGCGAGGTCACAGTATGAATGTTAATATAAACAACATACTAGGCTTTCAATTAAGGATGGTTACTTCACATTCCTGGTTAAAAAAGCAGAGCTCTGGGAGGAAAGGGTCTCTGCAATGAAGACAAGTGCCCTCCCTGACACGAGAGTTTAGGGGCCTGGCCCCAGGGACGTCGTTTACCATAGGGTTGTATTCTGTCACCAAGCGCAGGCTGTTGGTCTCAATGAAAAGGCTTAATTTGGCAGCTTCCATGTTTTCAACCTCTTCACCCTCTAACTTCAACTGTTCATTATCCACCTGGGAAGCACAAAGAAGGATCCGGTTGTCACCATTATATCTTTTTTTTCCCAATAATTGCTAAATACTCTTAGACCACTATGAAACAAGCCTCCAGTAAAGCTTCAAAGACAGACAGAAAAGTGAGTCAGGAGGGTTTTCTGCCCTTGAGCGACATGTTTGTTTTTTAAAGATTATTTTTATGTAATGCAATTACTGATATATTTAATTATGAATTTTCCATTGGTTCTGCCTGTTCCAAATTCTACTTTTCTTCATTTCTGGCTCAGTTTTGAATTGACTGAATTTATATTATCCCCCCACATTTTTTTTTTTTTTTTGGTTTAGAAGCCACACAAGTTTTAATTATTCCTTTAGGGATTGCTGGCATGCATTATACAGCATGAATTTTTACATATTAGAATCTAATATTAATTGGCTATTCCATCCTTATCTTGACTTTAGAACATTCTCATAATATGGTTTATCTTCTGACTTCCTTTCCTGACCCCACGGTTGGACTTAGAGATGCTTGTTTTGTGTTTGAATTATAAATCTCACAAGACATCATCATTATTATTATGTAGTTTACACTTAAATTTATGCACATATTTACATTTTAGTGTTTCATCATTCATTCTTGCATTTTTGAGCTTCTACATGGAATGTTTCCACCCCTCTGCCTAGAGAAAACCTTTTAGTATTTTCTTTAGTATCAATTAACTCTTGGGGGACAAATTCTCTCAGTTTGGTTGTTTAACATATGATTTATTTCAAGTTTGTTTTTGAAGTCTTTTTTTGCTGGTGGTAGAATTCCAAGTTGACAGTTATTTCCCTTTGTGTTTGAAACAATGTAATGCTCAGTATTTTGTGTTATATTATTTCTAGTGAAAAATCAGCTGTGACCTATTTCTGTCCTGTCGAGATTACTTTGAGGGTAGTCTTTTTTCTCTAGTTTAAGATTTTCTTTTCTTTTGAGATTTGAATATTATACTAGGGCATGGCTAAGGGTGGATCATACACATTTCATGTGTATACAGTTGTATGTGTATAAGTGTTTGTGTGCATTTTTCATGATCATCATAGTCCAGTTTCAAGGATAGGGATGATTTGTGTCGGTGCTCTACTGAAGTCCATGTGAGGGCTGATGTGCTTATGATTTATCCTGAAATTAGGTACAGTTTTGGGGATCCAAAGGAGATACTAAGGATGTTTTACTAGATTTACTTCCAATTTCCCCTGTGGGGCCTCCACACCAACATTTATTCTGTTGTCCCTTTGAGAATCTCTCAAAAATGTTGATAAATGTTTCATCCTTTAGACTGTTTTTTTTTCCCCTAGAACTAGAAAACGCCCCCAAGATGAAAAGCTGTACCCAATGTTCTTAGTTTCCATCTTCTAGACCTTGGTCTAGACATTTTCCCTTCTTTTATGATAACCTAGTTGTAAAAAATTATCTAGCTACCTGGTCCATTTTCTCAGCTTTGTATTTTAGTGTTCGTCTATCCTCAGTGCCATAGTTTGGATTTGGAATGTCCCCGAAGGTCCCTATATCGAGAGCTTGATTGTCAGCCTGTGGTGCTATCGGGAGGTAGTTGAACCTTTAGAAGTTGAGGCCTAGTATAAGAAAGCTAGGTCACTGGGGGCATGGCCTTGAATAGAATATTTCCCCCTGGCCCCTTTCTGCTTCTCTCTGCTTCCAGCCGCCATCTCTGCTCCATCACATGCTCCCTGCTATGATGTGCTGCCTTGCCACAGGCCCCAAAACAGCAGGTTAATTGATCATGAACTGAAACATCTGCAATCACAAACCTTTACCCTTATTAAGTTGACTATCTTAGGCATTTTGTTGCAGTGACAGAAAGCTGACCAACACAGGTACATTAAAAGATAGAACTTCATAATTCTAGTTCTTGTTTCCAGAATTTTCATTATCTTCCCTCAGTCTACTTCTGCCCATAACAACATAAGATAATGCTTCCATTGCCCATAGCAACTATACCTATAGATAAAATCACCAGTGTCAGCCCCTGAACAATTTTGTGCATCTCCTAAAATAGCTTGGGTTGCTTTGGAGATCCCTGGGCACCTCTTTACCCCTTTCCCCTTCATCTGTTATTTTATATGATCTCTACCCAATCCGATCTTGCCTTAGTTGAAAATCACCCTTTTATCCCTATGATACTTTTTCTCAGTCTACCCAACAAAATCAGAGACAAATCTCACTTTAGTTTATGTAGGAGAGAATTCAGGGAAAGGGAAATTTAAGTCCCTACATAGTAAGAATCCAAGATTGATCCTTATTGTCATACTGGTGATGACCCTTATTTTCTATTTTTCATTTCTTTTATTTAAGATGATTCTCTATTGGGCTAATTAAAGGCAATATAAACTTCTGAGAAGCTCAATGCTCAGGTTAAAATTACCTATAGGGCTAATTTTATTAGTCCTGGATATAATGTAGTCATTCTCTTATAACCCATTTGTTCTAGAATTATTCATTGAGCACCTGCTATACGTTTGGCATGCAGGCTCAGATTGCCGCCATTCACTTAGAAGACCAATTAAATGCTCTTTATTTTAAGACCTTTGTGCAATTTAAGTTTATGAAATAAATACTACAGAAAACGTTCTTATTTCTGAAAAAGATTTTGAAAAAAAGTCATCCAAACCACAGAATATTTTAAAATGTGAAGTCTCTGTATACATAACTGTTTTAAAATTCACAAAGTTCTAAGTAGATTACTTGGGAAAGAAAGAAAAAAGCAAGAGAAAAAGTCTGAGGTGGAGACCTTACCCAAATTTCTACCCCCATCCCTACCCTGAATTATTAAGAATGAGTGAAGAAATAAAATGAACATGCAGAAAACACTGGACATTGGAGGCTCTTCTGGATCTTTAAGCTGCTGAAGCCCGGATTGCCAGCTGGCCTGTCTCCTTCATACTTAAGACTTTGCTATTGCAACCACCCAAATCATCATTATTACAAAAACAATCAGGGCCCTTTTAATATCAAATATGTCTAAATGCTTCCTGATTATTTTTCTAGGAAATCTTAGGCCTGGCGCCTGAGCCCCAGCTGACCTAGCTGTGGGGTGGGCCAGGAGTCTCCTCCCACTCCCTTTTCCAGGCAGTACTTCTCATTTCCCAGAACAGGGAGAACAGGAAGCCCTGGTTACTCCAGGTGTTTCTGGACCTAAGGAATGCAGTACTGGGAGGCAGAGGAGGTGAACTGATGATAACATTCCCTAAGCAGAGAAGGAGGTTTAATAAAAGCCACCCTCCCGCAGTCTCTTGGGTTTGTCGTACCTCTTTTAACAAATCGTGTCCAATTACTGCATTGTTTTTTAAACTAATAAACTCTGGAACATTTATGTGTAGGGTTACTGGAAACAACATTTGAGCAGAAAATCTGCCTTCTGTGAAGATAATAATTTGCATAATGCACTGGAAAGAAAATCTGACCCTGGAACCAAGAACATTTTAAAAAAATATACTTCTCCAGTGTTTGGAAAGAATTTTACTTAAGATATCCTATTATTTTTTTCTTCACAAGAAAAGGGATACAAAATAAAAGCAGAGCAGTAAAATGGGACGGTTTCTACCTAAGCATCCCCCTGGATTATCTGAAGGAGATGTTTTTGTTTTGTTTTACATATTATATCATCAATTGTTCCTTTCCTGTTTTTTACTATTTCAGTAACATTTGTTTGAATTCCTTTGGATTTCTCTGACAACACAGCTTTTCAGAAAATGTATTAAAAATCATCTTAGTTTACACTCAGTTAAATACCAAGGTATTAAATACTTTGGGTGGCAGTGAAAAATCATTTGTTAAACAGTTGCCCTCATGCTCCGGGTTTGTTTCCCTAAGCTGCTCATCTTACTGCTAGTGCATATTTTAGAAAAAATGTTTTAATAACTTGACATATATTGCTTCATGCATTTCTTATCAGTTTATTTTTATGCACTGGTTCCTTCTGATTCTCTTTGCCTGGTAAGTTACATTTCTTATAATAGGCACCCAATAAATAACTGCAAAAGGAATAGAGAATGACTTACTGTGCTTCTTTTACTATCCTAATGGGTCAAAGTTAGGCTAATTACATTTTTAAAAATAGAAGTGACTGAGAAGACCCAAAGCAGGGGAAGCATTCAAATAATATCCAAAGTTCCATTTTAGGACAGATTCATTCACCCCAGGGATTTCATCTGTGTTCAGGAAACAGAATCCTTTGGGAGAATGTAGAGGTCTCTCTGTTGTCACACAAAAGGCAGACTGTGGCCCCCAACAGCCCTGTCATAATATATGGCTCAATATTGTTCCCTGAATTTTACTGAAACTAAAACATTCATCTAAGTCAGCCCTTTTTGGAGAATGATATGTTCCATAAATACAGCTTATTCTGGCCTTTTATTTCTCCTATATCTTAATCATCCATAATATCATTAGTTTTTCACTTAATCATGAATTCAGCTTATCTTTAAATATGTTCTTCTAATCGTAAATGCTGTAAGTCTAAATTTTGAAATTTATTTACCAAAATATATAAAACCTAGATTAAATCTTGAGATATAATCCTGGCTTTCGATTGATTAGTGACACAGGAATAGGAGAATGGTTTAGGAGAAAGTAGTTAAAAAGAAAGGTATGTGTTATAGAAGAAGGGACATTATAGTAGACAGAATCTAGTGTGAAAATGAGGGTTTTCTTTAGGGTTAAGTGCTTTTAGAAAGCCTTGATAGCATAATAGAAATGGTATGATTTGAGATCAACAGTGCTGGGTTTGGAATCAGACATCTGTTACTTTCTAGTTTTGAAACTTCAGATAATTGAATTGATTTCAGAGCTCTATTTTTCTTACTGTAAATGTAGGGATAACAATCTTCCTCAAATGCTTGTGAGAATTGTAACAGAACCAATCATAGATTAGACACACACACACACACACACACACACACACACACAAAACTAGCAAACAACTAAAACATAACAAACTGTGGATCTAAGATGAATAAAAGTACCAGAAAATTTGTGATAGGTTTATATTTCCCAAATCCTAAAATTTTAAGGGGTGGTGCCATCACCACCCCTTTAAAAAAAGTTATTCTAAATTCCTGAACAATAATCCTTTTAAAATGTGTACTAAACTTTTGAAAGAATAAACTGAGAAAGAAGTGTTTATCTAAAAGCTGGCACCACATAAGTCAAGCCTCTCCCAGCCTGGCCAGTGAAGTGCGCAGGAACCACTGTGTTGGTTTTTGGTATGGCACATAAATAATTGGGTCCACAGAGGTCTCAGGAGTTCATTTAGAGTGGGTCCATCACTAGTGGTAAACAAAAAACAGATGCTAGGGAGGAGTGAAAACCTCTGAGAAGTCATCAAGGGGTTTTACAAAGACTAAGCTGTAAACAGAGCTCATGTTCCTGTTAAAGAGTGTGAAGCCTGGAGAGCAGTTGGAAGAAACACCTGTGTTTTTCTTCCCAGTGGGTGTATCTTGTGAAGGCCCTTAATTCAGGCCTTCTTAAGATCTACAAACAAAAAACTGGGGAAGGTGAGCCTGTGGAACTGAAGCTGATGAGGACTTTTGCATTGAAGGATGACTCTCAATGGTTCGATGGCAATGGGAAAGACATCTGCCTCACCGTCCATGTCTGCCTTAACAACGCTTTTCACAAAAAGGCTGGGTTTCGTTCTGTTTCTCCATAGTGAAAATATAGACTATCAACTATCGTGCAAGTGGGAAAGGGTGGCTCAAAGGTGCTCTTGTAGCCTCAGACATACTTTGGGAGGTGAGTTTGGTTTCTCAAATGCTTCTTGGTACCTTTTAGGTGTTATGGACCTGTGGACGTGGAATACAAAGATGAGACATAGAGTGTAAATGAAAATAGAGATATGGGTATATAGAGGAATGCTTAGGCTGATTTGGGGATTCCAGAGAGGCTCTCTGAAGGACAAGATGCCTGAACTGATTAACCTGAAGTATGAGGAGGAGTCAGCAGGGTGAGGCCCGGGGAAAGGGAGTCCTTGAGCTAGAAACATTCTGGGCAGAGGGGACTGGATAATCATCATGTGTATAGTTGGGGACTGAGAAAATAAATGCCAGGGTGGAAAACTGCTAGAAAAGGGACTAGAAAAGCACAAGAGACCATAGGTAACATTGAATATCTTGCAAACAGTGGGAAATGTTGAAGAAGTTTTAAGAGAGGAATGCCTTGGTCAAATTTCCATCTTAAATATGCCATAGTGGTACCAGTCTTGAAAATGGATATGAAGCAGTAAAAGGAGATCAGTTAAGAAGCAATTACAATCACAATGAAAATGATGCTTGGAGCCTAAATGGGAATGAAGTAGGAAGAGTGGAGTAATATAGATTCAAGATAGGAGGTGCAATTGGCAAAAGAGAGTGAATGACATAATCATTCAATAAAATAGTGTATTAGATGGGGGAAAATGGTTTAGCAGGTGCAGACAATAAATTCAATTTTGAGCATGTCAAGAGTATAGTGCTTAGGATGGTATAAAATGGTTATCTCCAACGAGCATTTGAATCATGAGAGAAGTCCATGTCGTAGGTAAAATATCCCAAATCCTCCGCAAACACATCATGGTCAAATATGAATTAGTTTGCTTAAGGAGAACATAGACATTCATTAATTGATTCACTCATACGCTCATTCTCTACAAATATCTCACGAACACCTGCTCCCAGTGCTGCCACATGGCAGACACTATTTTAGGCTCTGTGGATTCAGAAATGAACAGACCATCTCTTGCCTTCACTGAGCACAGATTCCATAACCTAGACTGAGAAGAGCATTGGGTCAAGAAGTAGTATAGGTAGAGGAAGAGAGGGCTCAGGAAGACTAAGAGAAATGGGCTCCGAGGAGTCAAGAAAGGAGAGAACACTGAAGACAATATCAACCGACACTAACTATGTGGCAGAAATGTTGAGCAAAATAAGACTGAAAAGGCATTTTTGCTTGGCCACACAGAGGCTGTGCTGACCTGAGTGAATATAGCTTTCATGGAGCCATGGGGCATATACTACATAACAGTGCCCAGCTGAAAGGAAGTCTGAGATACTGAGTATAACATACTCTTAAAGGAAGTTTGAATGAGAAGTGACCATGAGAAAGAAAAGATGGCAGCCACAGGGAGAGAAGGGCATTTGGTCCAGAAATCTTGAAAGCTCTATCCTGGGCTCTTGTTCTCATTTTCAGCACACTCTTGACATCTTTACTTTGACATTTCACCAGGTATTAAAAGTCAACAACCAACTAAAGCAGTAATAATCCCTATTTCTGCATATGCTCTCACTATTCCTGGAAACCCTGGCTTTAAACTTTACCCTCTTTCCATAATTTTGATGTCTGTTATTTGCTGATCATTTACTTAATCTAATTATCTAGTCATCAATCTGCTTTTCTTTAATTTTGACCTCTCTCCAGACCCTTAATACCTACCAAAATCTCTCTCTTTTTATGCCTACTAATTTACCCCACCCATCATTTCTATAACAATATTGCTAAAATACATTCCTATTCATGTTACTCCTATGATCTAAACGTTTTGGGGTTTTAAGGTGCCAACCAAATTTAGTATAACCAAATTAAATGGTGTTCTAATTTCTCCACAGTATGTGTTTAAACAGTCTTCTCTATTTTGTATTACTTTCTGCCTAACGTGTACCCTGGAATCCAGTCAAATTGGCCTGGTCATTGATTTATAATTGAATTCGATTATTTCCCCCTTGGCCATATGGGTTTTTAGCTCTCCTTGACATCCCAGTCCAGTGCTCTTCTTCATATTTTTTTCCCAGAATTCACAGTTTTTGTCCCTTGAAGCGTGTAACACTTTATAGTCACACTATTTACATTGGATACTTGACTATTGCTTATAATCTATACTTTCAGATCTATTAAAGCAAAGATCTTTCTCCTTTTAATTTATAGATGAAATGAATTGAAGCTAAAAAGTGCTAAGTGAGTTGCCCAGCATCTGGTGGCCGGTGAGCCACCAGGCAGCTCTTCAGCATCCTGTTTCCCGATTCTCACATGAGTCTTCTTTCTACTTCATCACAGCACCTGTTTGGCAACTCTTGGTTGAGTCACCATCCTTGTCAACAATGTCCCTGAATTTGGCACCAGCATTAGTGTTAAAGACATAGAGTTCTTTCCAGTCCCACAAGTTTATGAGTCCACAACCTGAACAAAACTTGGGAGGAGGCTCAGGTTGTCCACGCAACTTACCAGACGAAAGAGGGAAATGGAGTTCCTGGTGATGTTGTAGTGCGCCAGGACCTCAGAGTTATTGCTGATTCCAAATGACACATCTTGGAATTTTTGCACCATGCTATGGAATACAGACACTACTGGTATTTCTAGATCCTAAAAACAAGAGGAAAAATAATGCATAGGGATTATTTTGGAAGGAGAGAGAAAAAGAATAGAGAAGTAATATGCTCACTCAAACCAGAGTGAAAAAATTTAGTGTCTAGTGAAAAAAATTATCCTCTAGAACATAGGCTAAATTTTCAGTGGCATTTTGAGTTTTCCAGGATATGGCAATTAATAGGTTACTACTAAAACTGTGGCTAAGCCTGGGATTTTTGTCTGGCCTTATCATAGAGCTGAAGTTTATTAGTAGTCAAGAGGCTTCAAAATTAGAGGCCTGTGGAATTGGGCTATACTGACATTGATTACTTGAGGGGACAAATGTTTTGGGGACTATTTGTGGAGGAAAGAGGAAATGCAAAAATAAGAAATAGGTGCTATGAAAGGGGCCAAAAAAGAATGAGTACAAAGAAAAAAAAAAGAGAATGGAAAGTTAGAAATTTCATTAAGAATGGTTTGTGTAGGATATGGGACAATAGCTCCCTCTTTTCAAACCTCTTTCCTGAGCATGAAGCTGTGTGCTTTCCTGAGCTTTGTGCATGAAGATACTTTTCACATGTCCAGCTCTGCAACCCAGAGGTCAGGGAGCAGGGAGGTCACTTCTGAGTGTTGAAATGGGCATCATTTCCCTGCTGCCACACAATGTTTGCCCATAGCACCTCCAGGTGATGAACAGATGTGAGTGTGTTCTACCCTGCATCTCCCTTGGCTGAAGGTGATATGCAAGGAGAAAGAGGATGGCTAACAGCATTTGGGTTCAAGTACAGGGAGTTGGTAGCTTGCTTTTCTGAAAGGCCAAGTACAGTTTGGTAGAGGCTTTGAACATTTGTTCACCCAGGCTTCTTCCTCTTTTGTGATCTGCTCTTTCAGATGGAATTGCTCAAGGATCCAATGATGGCCTCTGGTGGCTGTTTAAGTCATTGCACACTCTTCCAGTTCACGCTTGCCCTTTCCTATCCTTCTGAGGGTGGCTGTTTTTGTCTACATCTCTCTCACTACTGGAAACTGCTCCTTGTCTTCCTTCCACAATGCATCTCCTCACAGCTGCTTCCGGCTGTGTACACCACTGACAGGGTAACCCTGAGTTGGGATCAACGAGTGGAAATAGGCAAGAAGGTCTGTAGTGAGGAGAGTAGGGGCGGGATCAGCTGTGGGAATTGCCAGATGCCACCACCAGAGATAAAGGAGAATGCTGGAAAGATGCCCTCTCATTTATGGCTGCTTTGGTTGGTCAAGCAGCCAATCTGGAAGATGGAGGTTAATACCTTCAATATATCAAAGTCATCATTTTTCAATATTTCAGAGAAGGCAGAGGCAAGGAAGAATGAGGGTCTACCTAGGGAAAGATTTTAGACAGAGGTAGCTAACCCTTTGGAGCTTTGGCACACATATATAAAGTCTTGCCTGTATTATAAAACGTTTATGCTTGCTTCTGCCTGTTTATATGAGAGAATAGACAAGGGCATTTAGAACAAGAGCACGGTTTGCTTCAGGTTTTCTTCCTGCAGATACTAACTTAGTTTCCAAGTATCTGGGGACAAGGAGATCCAACCAACAGACTCAGAACTCTTGAAGCAAGTATGAGAGAGACCTAATGTGGAGACTGGGAATACTGTAAAATTAAAAAGTCTGAATTGATAAGCCGACTCTGAGCCCCACTACTTCTAAGGCATTGTCATCTGGACAAGAGGCCACCACCATGGCTCCCTGGAGGAAAAAGTTGCCTGGCTCATGGGGACACAGCAAGTGCAATATGTGGACAAACCTGGAAGAAGCCTATGATGGCCACCTCAGCAGCAGAGATGAATTCCTCGGCAGCTGGGACATCTGTGAGCCACATAGGTCCCTGGGCAGTACCAGGACCATCTAGAGAGAGAAGTAAAAGATGTCTGGATTGTGAGGTAAAGAAGCAGCTCTATAAGCAACTCATATAAGGCCAAGGAGATTGGAATTTCTTGGAAAGCTGTTACCATTCCAAGGCTTTTTAAAAAAATCTAACATATGGAAGTGACCTCCCCTTATGGTCACTCTCTGAAGGATTCTGTTAAACTTCTCTTTGCAAGGCAACATACATCTTTATCATCTTTATCCAGCATATTTTTGGAAAATTTTCCAGGTTTAGAAGGAAAGTACCCAGAGAACTATCACATTCCCCTCCCTTCTAAAATTTTTCCCTTATGGTCATGCAAGTGCTTTCCATTTTACCTGAGGACTCTTCAACTTCTCCAGCAACTTCTGGGGCCAGTTCACATGTGAGGAGAAATAAGAGTAACAGGTACCTGGAGCAGCTGGCTTTCATTGTTCTTCTCCTGCTCCAACCCTGGACTCTGTATTTGGGGATGCCAATTCAGGGCAGCCCACTCTATGTTTAACTCGCTGTGCTCTGGGAACTTTGCAGCTGGCTCTAGGGGAACCTTCAACTTCTGAGATAAATGACCATGTTTAGTGACAGGGCCTCAGAATATAACCAATCAGAGTCTGACAGGTTCATTTGAATAAAAAAGTTATGTACTCTATACCAGGTATTGACCTAAGCACTAAGAACACAAAGATAACTATGGACCCACCCAAGCCTTCCCAGCTTAGGTTGTTCATGGGAGAGATGGACACATAAAGAGATCATTTAAATATAAAATAGAAAGTGATAAAAAATAGAAAAATCCATAAAGTACCCTGGATAAATAAGATTTTACCAGCAACACAAGAGAATGATTAGTCATTGAGAATTTCAGGAAGAAGGGAAAAATAATTGTGGGCAGAAAGGCATGCTGGGACATGCTTGCAATAGTTCTTTCTATGATAAGCAAAGCATCCGAGTATTGGCTTCATTTTGTAGGTGACGGGAACCTACTGAAAAGTCCTAAGCATGAGAGAAACTATGTTTGGTTTGGCCCACAAGTGCCTATGAGAAATCCAAGATAAAATTTCCACGGGCCTTGTGATATATAGGTCTCAAGCTTAGGAGAAACTCCCATAAGTAAATATTATGAAAGAAATCAAATTCAGAGTTTTCACCATCTGTATTCTGAACGCTCATTACCCCAAAGTACTATAGTAATGCATTCCCAAGGATGTAAATACTCCCAGAACTGTGGACCCCAACCCCATTCCTCAGGAAAACTGGAATGTGAACCCTTTGGTTACCATATTTGTTTGATAGAAGAAATCAGGGAAATGAGGGTCTCAGAACAAAAAGTAGTTGTTTTATTCTTACTCTCTTATGTTGTTTACAGTATCTCCCACAAAAGAAGAACCCCAACTGGCAGGGCATGTGACAGGGCATTGAGCCAGCAGCAACCACCAAAGAATCCAGGAATTGGAATGAGCTACTAAACCTAAGACAAAAGGACTGTTCATGGTAGTTTGCCAATTTCCTGGCCTCTAGTTGCTCAGACAGGAAGAAGAGAGGGAAACATTAAAGGAGATGGAGAACTTGAAAGAACTGGCTCTGACTGGGACCGAGTCAGAGGAAGCAGGCAGGGTTAAAGCCTGAGTATTAAGCCTCAAGGGCAAGGGTGGGATGAGGTTCATCAATATGGAAAAGTGGGCGGTCTTGGAGAAGGAATCTAGCTGTGAACAGGAGGGAGGAGGGACAGGGTGCCCTTGTGACTAGGATGATTCTGGGTGGCAAGGGGAGGTTGAGGGATGGGCAGATGCACTCATTCTGTCCAATCCTTCTTAATGGACAGGTTCCACTCCCAGGTGAGGTGGTCTTGCTTGTCATCATCGGTGAAGAAGGACTTGTTGTGGTATGTGCCCCTGGCCAGCATGCCCTTGGGAGCCTCCTCAGTCGGGGTGAGGAATTCATACTCCTCTGGCCGAGGCCCATAGCTGCCAACCATAAATGTTGCTTTATCCACTAGGAAGAAAGAAAAGTTCATGAGGGTAAGAGTCTGTTAGAGGAAAAACACACTGAAAATTAGGGAATTTGGTGCACAGCCTCTATTAGAGGAAGCCAAGAACAATAGTTTCCAAGCCTGGCTGAATGTCAGTTTTACCTGGAGCATCTTGTTTTTCTTCACATTACTTTTTTATTAAAGGGACTTTCAATAACAGTTTCCTTTGTCTCTCTCCCAAAGACTGTGGTTCAGTAACCTGCTGTGGGTCCCAAGAATCAGTGTTTGATAAAAGCATCATGGCTCATTCTGATTATCAGGAAATTTGGGGAACCAGTGTCTTAAGTCTTTGGGAATCCAGGCTCTTTTTATGTAGCAGATTATACCATTTGAAAAACTTTAACAAGTTGAGACCTCAGGTCTGGTCTCAGCATTGCAACTACCTAAGTCATATTAATGTTTTGGGCCTCTATTTCTCTATATAACAAACTTTAAGGACTGTTATCTACAAGCTATCATTCTATGAACATATTAACTGGAGGATATATTACAACAGGTGGTGATCAGAATAGGCAGAATTCATGGATGCAATAATTGGATGGAAGGGAAAAATCGGCAAGTTGGTAAAAAATGAAGCATTGTGGCAAATGATGAAAATAGCTAAACAAATTTATTTACAGGTGAATAACTGGATTAGAAAGTATAAATAAAGGTAAGGAGCTTGACAGGTAGTATATAACTGGCCCTTTAAGCATTAATATATTTGCAGGAACAGCTACAGACACATAACCTTCCTCTTGCCAAAGTGAATCAACTTGGTTTCTATGCTCAAAGGGAATAGGAAATTGAACTATTCATTCATGAAATCAGGAGTTGAAAGTCCAATTAGTCTCTTACTGGTCAACAGTTTTCTCTGGGATTTGAGTAATTGATCGGTTCTGCTGTCAAGTGAATTTATCCATGTCTTCCTGCTCCATTGTTTGTTAATTTGTGGGATTAGCCTGTGCAGTACTGTTTCCCCCCTGTGGGGAAGAGAGTCTGGAGCAGAAAGGAACTGTGAAAGTGCTTCTGTCACCTTCCCATCTTTTCCTCTGAACCCATATTAATCAAAGAAAACTGAAGGCGAGTTCCTGATGCATGTCAAGAATAACAACAGAATAAATAACATGGTTATACTATTTTTTTTCACTTAGATAGCTTTTCTCAACCCTAGAAAGGTTTCTTTTTTCCTTTTTCTTTGTTAGAAAATTGAACACTGCCTTCCACGATCCTGTTCCCAACACATATAGGCCTTTCCTGTCTTGCATTTCTCTGACACGTGAGTTTTTCATCTAGGATTTTCTATTTTACTTTTGTGAGTATTTTTATGTCCTTTATCTCATGCAAACATAGTTTGGTTACTTTTCCCATATGAATAATGGAGCTGAATTCCAGAGGCTGAGTGTTGAAGGTCAATGGCTGACCCTATCTAAACTCGATATCCCAAATGTTGACCTTGCCAATAATGCCTAGGTCAGAGGTATTGTGTGCCTTTTCATAGGGCGGGCCTCCACAGCTTTTCTCAGATTCTTATAAGAGTCTATTACTAAAATTTGTTAATAATCAGAGAGAAGCAGATTGAGATAGTATAAAGTCTGGATTCCTTACCTTTAAGCCCAGTCCGATAGGTGTGCTGGACATACTTCAGGCCTGACACAATATCCTTGTTCACCTGTTAGTGGGTAGGATCCACAATTCCATTCTTTAATTCATATTAAAAACAGGCTTTCACTTATCCTCCTCTTTCCTACTGATCCTGCCTAGCTATCTTCTCTGAGGATGAAAAAACTAAAGATTTAATCAGAATGAGTATTCCTATAATTACTTAGTGTGATTGCAAGGCAGAAATTGGAGAGAAGAGATCGCAAGATTCAAAGTTGCCAATCCAATTTTAAGCATTAAATACTGTCACTTTTATTGTTTTGGAGGAGAGGGGTGGTTAATTAAAACATTGTTCCATTATTCTTCATCATATTCCTCCTTCCTCAATGGTCTAATAGTCTTGAGCTCCCCTTCCTCAATACTGCAGCCAAAAGACCGTCCTTGTCTCAGGAAAGGTTATGAAAATACCAGTGGGAAATATTTTGTAAATATCTTAAAACCATCACCTCAGAGTGACCCACTTAGCATATGAAAAACAAATGACAAGGAGAAAAGTGGTAATGGAAAACCAGGTCTGGGAGATGGTCATGATCACCATTTAACTGAGTCTGGAGTGGGAGTGAGATGATGGGCTACATGGACTCATCCTTTCCTGTAAGTAATGGGGGAAGTCCACTTGCATCAGGCAAGCATTTGGGGTGTCCGTCCTTGTCAGGTGTTGTCTGAGATACTGCCGCTTTCCCCAAGACTTTCAAAGAAAATTCCCTAAAGCAGAATGAAAATAGAGACAGCCCAGCACTTTGTTTTTCCATGACTCATTTTACCTGGGACTGAACTGGGTTGTCTGTTAATTTCATACAGTGGTCATGTCTATACAAACAAATCAAAGTGGACATTGAGTCATTAGCCGGAGGGCTTGGGTAACAAGTGACTTGAAGAATTAAGATCTCGTCAAATAATTTTTCCCCAGCAATAATTATGGCTCCCTCTACGTGTTGGCTACTATCCTTTCACCACTAGAACCACAGTAGGCCACGTTTTTAGAGTGTTATAAAGTTCAGGCAAAAAATAAATAAATAAATAAATAAAAAATAGAAGAACCTTGAGAGCAACTGACAGAATGAAAGAGGATTTTAGGATGTGTTAGTGGTATTATACACGCAGATTTCCTTGGAAATCTTTCAAGAGACTTCAGTAAAGATCTAAATTGCTTTTCAATTGTTTTCAAATTTGATCTGGTATTTCCTGTAACTGTAGCTTCATGCTGGGACAGACCACAGGCAGGTTTTGTGTGGGTCACACAGAGCCTTTTTTTTTTTTAATTAAAAAAAATTTTTAATGGTAGAATCTGACCAGAGAGTAGTTTTTCTCCTATTAGGGACAAGGGTAATCTTTACCTGCCATATTTTCATTTGCTGAAAACTGGCTTACTAAATTGACAATGCAATAGCATAAATGATTAAAAATTGCACTGATGTGTAACTCATTTTAGGTGTTTTGAATACAATGCTTTATCAAACCTCCAGGTGCTCTAGTAATAAATAATATGACAGGAAACAGAAATCACAGTTCAGTGCCAATTACAGAGTACAGGTCAAGAAAAATATTTCCCAAATGAAATAATTCTCAGGCATATTTGTATTGGTGGAGAGTAATCTTCATCCACCCTGAATAGTATCCTGTACCTAGGGGAAAGAAAGGCTCAGAATGCAAGTAGAGAGAGCAGATGAAGTCTTGGTGGAGCCTAGTCCCTGGAGAATATGACTGAGCGGTGAATAAGGGGCAGCCAAGGCAAACACAGACTATGAAGCCAAACAGTGCATTTCTGACTTATTTGTTTTCAGAGTCAAGGCTATTTTTCTGGTGTTTGTGGTTCCTCGTTGGAATTTATGCCCTGTTCATTAGGTGTCAGTTCATCCCTTATTTAGTTTTGCTCATACTTGGTCACGTGCTCTGCAACTGCAATGGCAATTTTCAAATATTTAGCAAAGAAAACACTCCCTAGATTTGTCTCATTATTGAGCTATTAGAGCTAAGGCTTTATCTATTCCATTTTCCTATTTGTTGATCCACTTATTTGTCTTTTTTCTCATTATAGATACCATTTAGAGAGCTTTGTGTGAAATATTGGAAAAAAAGGGTATACAGTTTCACCCTGCCTCGAGGAGCTTAGGTTGCACAAGGAAGAAATGTCATAAATAGTACAGTGTGTAGCAGCATGCAGCTCATGGGTATGTTAGGAGTTCACAGAGTGAGGGACCCTTTGGCTTTGAAGCATCCTGGCTACAAAAAGGCATGAAGCTAGGGTAGGTCTATTCAGGTAGGGCTCAGAGCTGAGAAGAGAACTTTCCAGACCCAGGTCAGGAGATAGAGTGGGAGACAAACAAAAAGTGTGCCAATGTGATAATGCAAGGAATTTAGTAATTGATTATAGGCATGATTAAAACCCCGTAGAAATACACAGGCAAAGATACTTACTTTGAAGTTGATTTTGACTCTGTATTCAATACCTTCCTTTAGCACAAAGGTTTCTTTTTTGAGGGCTTCAAGATCCCCTGTGAAAAAAAGATTTAGAAAGAATTTAGTCTCCTCAAAAGCAGCTGCAGAA